AGTGGTTTTCAGAGAACTGTCATCAGTGAAAGACGACAAGGATCTTGATGAAAACCAGGAGGAAAAGAGAAAACACTGTTTAGCATGACTGCTATGAAAAACAGAAACTAAGAGACAGAGGCTACATGCTAGGTTTATTTATAGGTAAAAAGCAAATCACATTTGCGCATGAAAGAAGGAAACATAATCTCAGATACCAGCACAATTAAAGCAATAAAAGACCAGAATAACTCAAATTCAGACAAAACATACTTGTAAAAACCACAGAAAGAGTGTGCAGATCAGTGCACGTTCATCCTCAACAGGATGACAACATAACAAAGCGTTATTTAACTCGATTGTTGAAAACTCCTGCAATTTTTCATATCACATTGTACATTGCAAGGTTACCCCCCAAAAAAAATCATAGGCTACGTTCACACTGCAGGCAAACATGACCCAAATCCAAATTTTTTGCAGCCCTAGCATAAACATGCACTGTGAAATCATAAAAAAGGGCAATGTCATTTTTCCTCTGACAAGACAAAACCAGTGAAAATTGGATAAAACCCTGAACCTGATTCAAAAGCTTTGAACAGACATTAAAGAGTTTTGTGCATTAATGAATGTTGTCAAACCTCAACAAACTGGAATAGCAACTTTGTACAGATGTGCTTGCCAACAATCCTTTCATAATATAAAATACTAATAAAAGGTCATCAGAAGACAATTACAAGCTTTTAAATTGTGAAGTGTTTTCATTTTCTCCCACACTCACACCATCATGAATTTAACCTATTTCATCCTAAGAAGCAAGAAATAAACATAAATTCACATTTAGGTATTTATTTCCCTACAATATGCAAACATGCATCAGGAGACAAACTTTTTTTTTTTTAGCAGTGACAGAGGATTAACCTCTCTGCATCCCAAACTTATGCACACAAACAAACCTTAAAGTGGACAACTTGTTTTAAGCCATCGTTCTGCTTTAATGTGCTCAGCTGTTGCCTCTAACCCCGCTCCGTCCCATTAGCTCTGCTGGAGCCAGGTATCTCCCCTGGCTGAGCTGAAGTAGATAACAGCAGCCATTATCAGATTCTCAGAATTTAAGCAGCAGCTTGATATCGATCGCTGCAGCGTCCAGTTACAACTGCCCTGCCAGCGTGGTGTCTGGGGACGAGGTCTTACTCCCACCCCCACATTATCACAGTGTGATGAACATTTTCTGAGGTTATTTAGAGACTGGTGACCTAATCTCATCACGTGAACAAGATCATATATTCTGAAGTCACACAGCGCTTGTTCCGAGAAGCATAGGCACAAAATCTGCTAAATCACAGTCCAGATCAGAAAAAAAAGATAAGCCAATTAAAAAGATTTCCACTCTTAAAAAGATCAGGTTACTGAAACYCTGCACAAGTCATTAGCACAAAATGTGGATGATCACAACTCTACTCAGGTTTCTCTGCATTTTCTATTGACCTGGTTTCTGTCATAATAAAACCAGTTTATTATTGCATACAGACAGTACATTTCTTAACATGTTATGTTTTGTCACATTTTCTTCGTTAACAATTACAGCAAATTTCTTGATGTGAAGAGGTTGACCAACTGTGCAAAGAACCCATAAAAAGAATATTTATAAATGTGAGCGTCAGTAAGATTTGCATTGTAAATGCTGTCTTGGAAAAATAAAGTGTTTGTTTATGATGAGTTAGTTTGTATCAAGAAAAAAATTATTTTGCCTTTTCCTCATTTTTATATCAAACTAGGCTAAGATTTTCAAAAATTGGTCTCTCAAAATGTGGTTGAGAGGTTCACTGGTCACTTGGGTGCAAACCAGGGCCGGTCCCAGCTAATGTGGCTCCCTGGGCAAAATTTCACGTGGTCCCCCTGTGCAATTTTCTAAATCTCACTGTCAATTGACATACATTACATTTACAATTTAAATAGTTGCGTCTTTGAAATTATTTTATATCTTTAGAAACCAGGCATTTCTATTAAAATAGCTGACAATATAATTCATTTGAAACAGAATATCAGAAGTCTGCCTCATGCCTGCCAACATCTGCTAACAGCAAAGAGGAACACCTGTTTATGTTAATGAGCAGCTGTGGAGTGAAGCAGTTCTAGGAGGGTCCAGGGGTGTTGATTTTGATTTAACAGGAAAAGATTACGAAAAATCAAGCCTGACTCAGCATAATTGCTGTTTTACAGTATACTCCCCCAGACAATTTTGTAAAAAAATTAATTGTGAATTTTCACCCATTTGAAGAGCATTTTACTAAATTCTTGGGATTATTAAAACAACATAAAATCTGTATTTAATGAAGTAAGAACACTGAAAACCTGAACTTTATGTGAGATCATAACTGAAACTTCTATTATCCTTATTTTGTTTTATATTTACACACTGATCACCAGTAGTTAGTCCTGATTGCATCACAAGATACTTTTAACAAAATATAATCTGTACCATATAACACCTCATGTAGTAACAAAGCAGCTGAGAAACCTACAGAACAAGTTACCTTCATAAACTTAAAAGAGCAGTTATTATTCTAAAAACTAAATCAAATATATTCAAAAAATGTTATAAAATATATTTGTTTTGTCCCCGATTTGTGGTGCCCTTTAGATGGACAGTGGCCTTAGCATTTGCCTATACTGTCTATGCCACGGAGCAGCCCTGAGCAAACAATAAATGAGACCTCAGCAGAAAATTTGCTTATTTTTTTCGTATTTTTAAACTAGTCTCCTACAGTCCCAGCCCATTCAGATGTGGCCTAAAGGCACCAGGCTGGTCAAAGGCATTTAGCATATCATTACCATTGGAAAACTTCTTGACTGAAACATTTTGCATGTTTTCCCCCTTTTCCAGTGCGCTCCGTTCTCCTTCAGTCACAGCACATTGTTCTGAGAGGAAAGAAGAGATGACAAGCTCTTCCAAAGACTTCTCCCTCGAGAACAAGGCCAGAAATAAAGGAAGCAGTGGACAGCAAGAGGAACGAGCGTTTCCCTTTTCCTCTGCTGCATGACTGGACAGTAACAGAGTTCAGAAGGGAGCGGGATCCTGTTTCAAGCTTGGACAAAGACGCACAGAGGCCACACTAGAGAGTGAAAGARGGATTTTCAATGGGATTTTGCAAGAGCCAGGTGGCACACAGTTTGCTCTGTAGGATTTGTTTGCATGTAAGCAGGTCAGGTGAGGTCACACTCTCTGCATTACGGCCTTTCTGCTTTGATGTAAACACATTGTGGGGCAGAGAGCCGCTCGATCAGCCTCACTCAGACACTGTTCAACACATTAAACAGTGGCCGGCCGATTCCCTCAGAGGACTCAGCTCCAGCGTGAATCAATCAGCACACAAATGTAAGCATATGACACATCGCAGACAAGAAAATGGCCCAAATAGATGATTACGAGACATAAAATTCACTTTCAGGTGCTCAGCTTCACAGAAAAGTACGAGAGTCAAACTGCAGGTGTGTCTAAGTTTTCAGTTTCATTTGGAGGATTTGTGTCTTGATGTCTTTTGTTCGTGTGTCACCGTTCCAGAGATTTCACATACCTTGACAGCAGTTGTGACTCCATCCTCAGCAGTGCTCTGCCCATTCTGTCAAGAAAACAGACGTGAAAACAATGAGTGTTTGTGACAGCACATGTACCACATTTGTCTGTGTAGGAAAGTGGAAAAAAAAGAGAGATACTAGAGAATATTTGCAAGACTGTGTGGGTGGCAGCAGTCCACTTTGCTCCTCTACAGGCAAACCTAATAATGTGAGGCTCCCGCAGAAAAGCACATCCTTTGTCCATTCCCCAGCAGGTAAACCTCTTTGAAAAGGCTAATCACAGTTATTTGTAAAACAATGTGCTACTCATGGCTGTTGTGGATTTTGAACACGCAATTTGACTCGGATGAAATTATGAGATTGCTTTTTGTTTGGTTGCACACAACAAAAATAGGATGTTGGGGAAAAAAGGATGTGATTAAATCAAAGCTAGTTTGGAAGCGACCAGTTTACAATGTGAATCTAAATATCACATAACTAATGATGATGTCCAATTAATACTCCTTGATTATTAAAAAAATAAAGTCTTTATTAAAAGTTATAATGCCACAGCATGGAGTTGGGTTTGCATTTCAAACCAGGAGGCTGGATTTTTATTTTGAACAAAACTGAAGAAGAAAAATATGTAAAATACAAAAAAAAAAATCACATCAAAACTGAATGCAACATAAGGACTAAAACAGGCACGGCCAGTTCATTTGAGCAGGTTTGGTTCCAATCGGCTACAAAGAAAAAAACAAAAAAAATAAAATAATAAAAAAATAAAAATAATAAAAAACCCACATAATTCTCCCCAAAACTTATAAACGTACTTCTGATAAATAATAATTGTACTTGTGTAGCAGGACAAGCCAGACAGACAGCCATTTATCATTTATCGCAGAGGTTCTCAAACTGGGAACAGTTGGGTATGGACAGTATGGAACGTAGGGCTGGATGATAAAAATGATATATCTCGTGATAAACACATGTTCAATATCAATAGAAAATATGTTTGATAGAATGTCAAAAATGTAACTTACAAAAGTTTATGAAATTTAAATAAAAATCACAGACAGAACGGGACTGGTCTGTCTGTAGCAAAATAACGTCTGTGGCTGCAAAATCACTTCTCACCTCCTTTATCCAAGCCGGCAGAATTTATTCTTTATTTGGCTTCCTCTGGCTCCCAAAATAACTGTGGTCACCTTGATGCACACAACGTTTACTACATTAACAGCTCCTGAAACTAACCAGTTGATAAAGCCCAGCTGACAAGGTTGGTGGCATTAAACTCACTTACTCACTGACTCTTTGGTAAGCTAGCAACAGCCTGTTGAGTAACATGAGCAGCAGCAGATTTATATTTCATCATCATGCCTCATAACTGCTTAAAAATAAAAAAGAACGATGTAGAGCAAAAGGAGAAAATGAGCGCAACAGCTCAAGAGGAAGTTACATCACTATCAGCCTTTTTTATCTTCTCGTCTTTATTTCATATAGGTTAAAAAAAAACCCTATTCAATAATTATCGATATCGACGTGATACATTTTTCAGGAATATCGCCGAGCCCAAATGGAACATACATTTTCTGAAGTACAACTTTACAAGTTTTTGTTTGTTTGTTTCAGATCACTTATTCGTGTTTATACTCTCACATCTAAGTTTTAGAGGCTGTTGCAAACAGGAAACAAGCAAGATGCAAATCATTGTCACTAGCCAACAAATGGCTCATCGCCAATGTAAAGTGACCAGAACGACTTATTTCAAGATGAAACTGCTGACACATGAATTCTAATTATTACAGAAGCCCTCCTGAGTCCAGAGCACTGCAGCCCAGTGGAAGGACGAGTTACCCGTCCTGCTGTCCTTGGGTCACAATGACCCATGAGGCCTCAGTTCTAAAACTAAAGCCTCATGGATCATTTTAAATAAACGGCAACAGAGGGTTAAACAACCTTCCTGCTCTCCACCCCTTTTTTCCTGCTTTTTACTTTTTTGTCCATAACAGAAAGGCGACCCTGATGTTGTTCACATCCTCCGTGTCTGCTTCCTCTTCCTTTAGATTGCTCAGAACGAGACAGGCAGTCAACACAAAGACAAGCAGAAACATTAAACATCAAACCGAGAGTTGAGATACAGACAGCAGAGCTGATTCAATGTTATATATGTCAGGGATGGGAGAAAAATAACAGTTCTAGTTCACTCTTACTGTTAACACACTGCTGTGTTATTTGCACCTCGCCTCACAATTGTGTTCCACTCTAGTTATAAGAAATGTATTTATTCTGGATGTGTGCTTCACTTTAATTTAACAAATAAGGGTGTTTTCACACCAGGGAAGTCTTTGGTCCACTTGTTTAATCCGATCCAAATAGCGGACTTTATTTTTTTCCTTTGGTGTGGTTTGCATTCACATTGTGCTTTTTGCAAGTGGACTATAATTTATAAACAAAGCCACGCAGGTGATGGCCATTGCTCCCACTGGACATAAATGACGGGGGCGGGACAAATGTGTGCCGCAACCTAAAGGAGACAAGATGCTCCGCATTCTCTGACCCACAGCAGCTCAATGGGCCTCATGCAAGAACATGTTCGTATTCTTCTCCTAAATTTCTCTTACTTTTGTTTGTACAAAGGGTTCYTARGAACATGTCACGTCAGATTCAACAAACTCTTCAATCTTCAGGAAAAGTGTGTAAATGAGCTGCGTAAATTCCACCTGTTCATATGCAGCTGCTCGTGCACGCAAGAGGAGATTAGTATAATTACCACCCCAAAAACACCATATAAGGCTATGTTTCCTGCCTCAGATACAAGGAAGTGTRCATTCATGAAAATGACAGCGAAAACTAAAAAGAAGAACATTACGAGTTCAGAGATTGAAGTCCGTCTGTCAGAGATCCAGAAAAGAAAATCTGTCATTTTTAGCAGGTCAGCTGTGGAATAAAAGGACCTGCTAATAGTATAAACAACTGTGTTAAATTATTTTCATTTATTCAGAAGATACAGCGCTGCGCACCGTACACCCCCCCCCACCCCCCACACTACCACCACCACCCCCGAGCGGCCGCAGGTGGTCTCAGATGCGGGTCTGAAATAAGCATTTTAAAATGTTTTCAAAATATGTCTGGCACTTTGGAGAACATCTAGGACTCGCTGGAGGGATTATGTATCCCATCTGGCTTGGGAACGTCTTGGAGTCCCCCAGGACTTGGAGGGTGTCACTGGGGAGAGCGGGGTCTCTCTACTGCTGCCCCTGCGACCTGATCCCGGATAAGCGACAGAAAACGGGCGGATGGACAATTTATATTGTTAGTCTAAATTATTACATTTAAAATTATAACTAATTCAAGCAGAATAGCATATTGTCAAGATAATCATGGAGTGTAATTTATTTTCAACTCAAAAATATCTTCAAACTAACGAAATATAAAGTTATTAGGGAGGAAAATCTATCTGGATAACAGCAGACTGACTGCTGGTAAAATATACGACAGGTCTGGACCACTCGTGAATTTTGTTCGTATCTGAAAAAAATCTTAGAATACGAAAACATTGGTGAATGCCACAAATTCTCCTAAATCACTCGTACGCACAACTTAAGAACAAATCTGTGCGTACGAACGGTTCTTGCATGAGGCCCATTGTTTGTAGCATAATGTTAGCATTAACAACACTGGAGGGCTAATGTTGCTCAGCCACTGTGGCCCGTGAAGTCCAAAAAGGTGCATGTTTCCTGTATGGTTCAGTTCAAGGCCGGTCTGTATTCACACCAGAAGCAAACCGCACCAGAGTTCATTTGGAAGTGGACCAGGACCACCTCAAAAATGGGCCTTGGTCCGGTTGTTTAATCCACACCAGGATTTGCATGTGTATTCACACCTGCATAAAAGGTCCAGACCAACAGGGGAAAAAAACTCTGGTCCGTTTCAAGGGGACCAAATGTTTCAGGTGTGAATACGTGGGACTTTAGACAGCATCTCAAGGAAAGGAACGGGATTGATTCAGTCAGAAATAGACTCATCATGCAAGCTGAGAGAAACAAAAAATCAGAAACAGGAACAATTTAAAGCAGAGGTTAAGTTTAAAGTCAGTGTTTAAGAAGAGCTCATTTAAGGGAATTCGGGGTGAGTGGGTGTTTTAATGATCAGCCTGACTTGCAAATTCAATCAAAGTCTTCCCACCTCAATTAACTTTCCGACACACGTTGATCTAATTTTGACTCTTTCACATGTGCACAGGTGGCTGTGTTTACAGAAGCAATCAGGAGGTGGAAATCTTAAGTCTGAATGTTTTATATGCCAGTGTAAGAAAATATGTGTTGTTCAAAATGGTGTGTCTGAATAAACAGGAATCAGCTGGATTTATTCTTAAAACTGTATTTTCAATATTTGACTCGAATCAGGTTCACACAGCAGTCAGACCACAGCGTAAGYCCTTGAGCTCATATCAAGAAAACCCAAACAAAACACAGCTGCCCTGCTCTGAGCAGAGAGACTGCAACACACTAACAGCTTCCTTCTATTATAAAAATGAGCCAACCTTATAATGTACATCTCTTCCTGGTTACACCCAAGGAGGTATTAGTTTTTACGTCAGACGTCAGAACGTAACTCATTCTTGTTTAGGCTAAAGAAAGAACACGATAAGACACACACCAACTCTTGTTCTGTTATGGCCTTAAAGCTGCAATGATCAGAAAGTATAAAATACAAAACTGCATCTAACATTCAATTAATCAATTACAGAATTTCCTTCACCAGAATGGACTTCCTCCATGAGAGCAAACGCACACTTCATGACAAAAAACCACATAAATACACCCAGTCATTAATAAATCAATATTGCCTGCCAACTCTCATTTACTACCACATCCAATTTGAGCTCAGTATGTGACTAAGTTGTATTCAGTTTGTGTTGGCTAATGTCAATTAGCTGTATTGACCATCTTGAATTGGACTGACTCCAAAGATTAATTAGTTGTTGATGAAGATCCAGTGATTAACTGAAAGCACCATTAAAATCTGCCCAATGGTTCTTGTGATCATTTGCTAACAGAGA